ATACCAGGGAAGACAAAAGATAGGGAATCTGTGCGTATCGATATGGCTGAAATGGGTATTAGAACGGAGTTGATGCCCAAAAATCCCGGAAAAAATGAGAAGTTACCAATGGCATCTTGTAACTTATTGCACAAAGAAAAAAAAGATACTTTTCTCATCTTTGCTTGGCATGAAGTTACCTGAAGGTTTTTGTTCTAACGTCAAGAGTCTAGTATCGATGGAAAATCTTCGAGTTGTCGGGATGAAGTCTCATGATTGTCATACAATGTTGCATCACTTGCTCCCCATTGCAATACGATTGGTGTTACAAAAAGATGTGCGGTCCACTATTATTAGCAAAGTCATTGAGGTCGATAAATTGGAAAAAATGCAACCCTAGTTGGTAGAGACTTTATGTTTGCTTGAAAAACATTTCCCTCCTTCTTTCTTTGATATAATGGTCCATCTCTGAATTCATCTTGTGAGAGAAGTCAAGCTTTGTGGGCAAGTTTGGCTATGTTGGATCACTACGCCAAAAACAGTATCAGAAGACTGTTGATTAACTACTGTTTATGAAAACACATTAGTTAAAAAAAAGCAGACTACTGTGAGTTTTTCTTGGCTAGAGAACAGTAGTCTAGTTATGATGCTTTAAAACTCTTTTTAAAGTTTCGAGAAACGGTAATCTATCATTAGTTATCTGTGTTAGTTCAAAATATAGTTTTTGTTGCAATAGTTGTCAATAACAAGTTAAGAATACTCTATTTAACAGTAGTTTGTTGTTTTAGTCTAGAACTGTTTTTAAACTTATTAGAAACAGTTATCTATTGCTAGTTGTCTGTTTGATATTGTTTTTTTGCCACAATTGTTTACAATAGGAATAGAAGACTTTGTTGTAACAGTAGTCTATAAATTAAGGGTAGAACTATTTTTAAAGTTGTGAGAAATAGTAATCTATTATTAGTAGTGTGTTTCATCTAAAAATACAGTTTTTGTTGTCACAATTGTCAATAATTAGTTAGGACTACTATTTCTAAACAATAGTCTGGTTTTTCAGTTTATAACTGTTTTTAAACTTATAAAAAATAGTAATCTATTATTAGTTGTATGTTTCATATGATTTTTTTGCATAGTTGTTTATTATAAGAATATAAGACTTCCTTGTAACAGTAGTATATTTATATGGTGTATAACTGTTTTTAAAATTCATAGAAACTGTAATCCATTATAAGTTGTCTATAATAACTTAAGAATACCCTTTTTAAACAGCAGTTAGACTATTAAGCTTAGAACTATTTTCAAAGTTTTGAGAAACCGTAATGTATTTACTAGTAGTGCGTGTCACATCAATTTGTTTTCATGATTATCTATAAGTAAAGAAAATTTTTTTTAAGAGAATTTTGTGTATTAAGCGTACAACTATTTTTAAAGTCTTGAGAAATAGTAATTTTAATACCAATTGTCACTACAAAAAACTTGACATTTTGTGGCACCAAATTTTTCCACAAAACATAAAAAATTAGCCACATTAACTATTTGTAGCAATTTTGGAATTTGCAACAAGGTTGCCACGGATACCCCGTTACAAAAGGTATTTGTTACAAATTTTAATTTGCCACAAAAATCATAGCCCCATAGTAGCCATATGTTAAGATTAAAGACAAAATACATACTACTCATAATTCAATTCCGAACAATCAAAGCTTCACAATTGTTAATACTTTAGGGTTTTGAAATAAAATAAATATATTACTAAACATGTTTTTATGATGAAAGTATCCTAAATTCTTTAGTATTCATCTAAGCTCCATCTCTTCATTTCATCTTGTCACTTCTATCTTGATTGTAATAACCAACCAAAGAGAAAAATGAATGGTATTTCTCATATTGAGCCTTGATCTGTAAATGAAAAAAATAAAATTAATAAAAGAAAGAAATGAGTAAATGACTAGAGCAACCAAAACAACATATAAAGCAAATTAAATAGTGTATAGAATGATCGGAGCAACCATAGCACGTATTGCACGCATTCTTCAAATTAAATAGTGTATAAAGCAACCAGAGCACGAGAAAGCACAGAAAAATAGAAACACATTTGTTCCACATGAGAGTAATGTAGTAGACAAATTTGGGAGTTGCCTTATTATCTCATTTTTCAAGATAAGATAGATGAACAACAACCCTCTTATGATCAGCAGTATAGATATGAGAATGATCCTTGCTAAGTATAGATGAAGTAATGCAGCTATTCGCATAACTATTTAGTCTTAGTTGGAAATGATACTCTTTCTTATAATGGCAGCAAACCCCTGCCATCTTTTGTAAGCTTGATGTGCTTCTTTGAACTGACCAGAGAGCCTAAACAGAACAGAACAGATTTACTTCTTGATGGATCACCCTACAAAAAATAATTTGTTTGACAATTTAATAGCAACTCCCCCCCCCCCGTGCCCCCACCTCAAATGAAATGAATCTAAAAATAACCCGTTGGCCATTATACACCACTCCATGTTGTTAGAGATTTAATAGTTTTTCACTAAATGTCCCTTTCTGAACGGAACCTGGAAAGGGAGAGGTCTTTTCCTCCACCCCTTTCAGGTTATCTCTAAAATTGGTAAATTAAAGGAAATCACCTAAATGCCATACAAGCCTAAGTTTTGTTTATCTGCAAAATAGTGTGACCTATTTTTGAAATAACCTAGCTAAGAACTTGCATAAAAATGCTCAGGCTACATCCATATTCAAAGAAAATTATTGGCTCAAGTATCTTTCCAACATAATAATAGAAAAGAGAAGATTTTTAGAAGCTAAAGCACATTTTTGGAATTAAACACATTACCACTTGCAATAAGGAGCCAAAGCACTTTTTTGCAGTAGTAATACAGTATGGTGCAAATATCATTCATTTCACATGTTTATCTATAGATACGTACTGCAATTAAAGAAATGCCTCTAAATCACACCTTGGGTTAAGAAGCCTCCCTCATAGACCAACAACAATCTTCAAGTCCCATTTCCATAATCTCCAAAGGGGAAAGCAAGTGACTGAGTAGAGTGAGGCAACATCACACGTGTTGAAGGCTTAAAAAACCAAGTTTAAATGTTGAAATATAAATATAGTACTAGTTAACTATAACAAAGATCAAACCAAGAATTATTGAGAAGATTAAAGACTCATTTGGTTAAAAAATAAATGATAGCAAATAGAAAACGAGAAGTATAGAGAAGATTAAAGTTGAAAAAACCAACTGGTAGTGCTAAACATCAACTGGATATCTTCGGCCTTTTGAGAAGAAACAAACCAGTCACCAAGCCAAGTTACTCAACAAAATATTTCTTGAACCAAAGATTCAATCTATTTGATGAATAAATTTCCCTAGGTAGTTATTTTATGGATTCAGAGCCTACATATTCAACAAACAGGATTGAACAAGAAGAACAAAAATGAACACGAATTCACAACAAAAACAGAGTACAAACTCAGTTTAGTCATATGAATTGAAAATTCCTTGGAAAGATCTACCTCAACATAAACCTTGTTCCAAAAAAGAGGGATTAAGCAGTAAGAACCTGCGTAGGAAGCCTAGAAATGTGAAAAGTACTCGGAAATCCAAAATTAGCAAAAATTCGAGCTTCTTTGTTTGCAGTCATCAACAAACTATAGGATCTGATTTGGCTAAACATGTCGCTCCTAGTACCTCAAAATTGGGCTTCAATTTGGACAAAAACCAGACGGAATTGCTCCTGCGAAGTTTGAAGATGAAGCTGATATGGATTTCGATGGTGAAGCGGCTGTGAGATGTAATTGATAAAAGTGTAGGTAGTTGGATGTGAGGGAAATCTGAATTAGGTATGCATTTCGTATATCTGAGCCAAAATTTTGAATCTGAGCCAAAATTTTGGCGAAGGGGCTGCGAAATTTTGAGAGGGAATTCAAAAAGTTTTAGTGCATTTTTTAGAGTGATTCCCTTTCTCTTTTTTTTCTTCTTGTTTTGACAATGGCTCCGTTCCGTTCAACTTATTTTTTCTGATCTGATCTGATTCTAATAAGTTCCGATCTGATCTGGTCTGATCTGATCTGATCTAATCTGGTTGGATCTGATCTGATCTGATCTGATTGGATCTGATCTGATCTGATTGAATCTGATCTGATCTGATTGGATCTGATCTGATCTGATTGGATCTGATCTGATCTGATCTGATCTAATTGAATCTGATCTGATCTGATTAATTATGATTTAATTTAAAATTTTAAATCAATAATTTAATTTGACTTTATAATAACGTTTGAAAATTGTAATGATAATTCATATTATAATATAATCAACATTTTTTATTTAATGATTATTTTTTAATAAAATAAAAATAGTCAATTCATATATTAGAATAATCATTCATATTATAATGTAATAATATTTTTATTTTATGATTATTTTTTTGTAAAATTAAAATTATACATTAGAATAAATANTGATCTGATCTGATCTAATTGAATCTGATCTGATCTGATTAATTATGATTTAATTTAAAATTTTAAATCAATAATTTAATTTGACTTTATAATAACGTTTGAAAATTGTAATGATAATTCATATTATAATATAATCAACATTTTTTATTTAATGATTATTTTTTAATAAAATAAAAATAGTCAATTCATATATTAGAATAATCATTCATATTATAATGTAATAATATTTTTATTTTATGATTATTTTTTTGTAAAATTAAAATTATACATTAGAATAAATATTTAATTTAGATATACATTAAAAAATAATTAAAAAAGGACCATTTGTGGAAAGGCACCCTTAAAAAAAAGACTACGGAAGTAATATTTGATAATAGAGGACTAAATATGAAAACCCCCTGTTATAAAGGATCAATTATGGAATTTACTCTAAAAATTTAAACAAAAATTGAGGAACTTACTTGTTTTTGAAAATTTGGCCAAAAGATTTGTATCCCTCCTTTTCCCGCTTCTAATATCACTTTGGATAATATATGTAAAATTGGGGGGAATAGATTTTTTGAGTCAAAATTTGGCCAAAATTATGTAACCTTCTTCTGCCTGCAATTTCACCCCTTCCCTTCTCTCTCTAGTGTTGCTGGAAAGCTGGTGCAGCTCCACCCCTTTTGCTTCCATCTTTCAATTCGAGACTCTTTTCTTGGATTTTTTTGGATATTTGGGTGCATCTCAAGCAGGGGGATCCCAATTCGAAATCACTTTTGCTGTTTTATAGCTGGATCTTGGAGTAGTGAAAGTCAAAGCTTCGTGGTTACTGTTCATTCAGCGACCAATTGACAAGCATCGAAGGATATCCGTCAAACGCGAAGTACACTGAGAGCAAACATGCTCGGGAATGAAGAATCCGGCACACTTTTGACCCTGCTCAAAGCCTGAGACGATCCACACCAGTCGTTGGAATCCATAGCCGACGATTTCAAACCAAAGCTCATTCTTCTCGCCACTTCAATTCCTGCGTCTCTCTCGCCTTGATTCTCGAGGTCCATACCATAATACCTGCGTCTCTCTCGCCTCTTTCTATTTTTTTTCAAAATTTGGAACAAGATTGAAGTTGAAGTGGTGTTATCTCTGTGAAATTCTATGTACTCTGAATTTCTCTGTAGGAACTCGGCTTCTTAAATTAGCAATAGAGGAAAAATTGAGAACCATTCATATTTTTTCCATTTTTTTGCCTACTAAATTCTCAAGTTTTGTTTTGCAGGGAAAGTTTCTTAAACCAGCTCAGAGGTTGGCTGTTTTTCCATTATACGGAGTTGCTAATTGTTGAATGAAATTGTTAAATGTGAATTTTTTTATTAAAAATATAATCTTAAACCGAAACACTTTAAAATTTTAAAAAAAGAACTCAATAGTCTAACATTGTAAATTTGATAACTAAACTAAGTTATGTACTCCGTGTACATAACTTGGGTAGCTTGGAGTCCTTTTTGTTAGTTGAAACTCGAGCTGAACGAGGATGGTTTGATGCAGTTTTGAGAGGTTTTTCGTGTTGTTTGCTTTATGCTGTTTGCTTTATGCAGTTTTGGAGTCCAGTTTTTTCGTGTTGTTTGCTTTATGCAGTTTTGTGTGGCTTGGAGTCCTCCTCTTTGGAAAGGTTGCTCGAACCAGGGGCTGCTATGGATTGATGTTTGGGTAAAGCTGGACTGTTTTCTCTTATAGGTTTTGGTTTCTCTTGGTGAGGCTCAAGTTTTGGAATGGTCTCTGTTTGTTTTTGTTCTTGGTTGAGGTATGTTGTTTTAACTCCCTACAAGGCTTTAGTTTTTCCGGTGTCCACTGGGTATGGTTTTTGAGTTTTTCATTCGATATCATCCCCTAGAGGGTGATGGAAGAAGTATTTACACATTTTCATGGTTTGTGTAGGGATATAAGTAGAAAGATTTTTCCTTGTGATCTTGCCTTTCCTAATAGACAATCTATCATATGGTCTCCCATTTCGTGCTCTTCTCTGAGTGAATGGAAAACTGTTACGAATAAAAATATGCTAACTCTTCTATTGTTAAGGGGACTGTGGTGGATAGAGACCCTTCGAAGTAGAAGAAAAAAAGCAGTGAGGCTGTTTTCGTTCAAAGGTATTCCTCTCCACAAAGTGAAGATTTACTCATATTTTAACTTAGGAGTGTAGATTTACTCTCAACTTCTATGTTGCTTTAACTCCAAACTAAAGATGATTTTGTACTGTGGTTTTTACTCAAATCTGATATTTTAAATTGTATAGTTTGAATTCGCAACTTGATTAGAATCTATAAACTATAATAACCTTGGTGTTACTTATATTAATAACATTGGTTAGTGCTTGTATTGGAATGTGGTACTATGTATAAACCGGTATCATAATTAAAATGATCATGATTTTGCTTTACCTTAAATTTCATGGATAGTCATCCATTATTTTCACAATGATGTGCTTTAAATTTTTGCAGCTTTGCTTGATTTCTAAGTAGAATTATGAACTTCAATTGTTAAACTACTTTGGAGTTATTTAGCTAGCAAATAACCCCAAAAAGTTTCAAGCATTTTTGTTATGAACTCTTTCTTGTTATCAACAAACATTCATTTTAATTTTTTAATGGTATGCAGATTGAGGACTAAAGTGGATGCTTTACAAGAAAATGTTGCTAGAGCAAGAGATGTATTCAAAAATGTTATTGAGGGGACAAATAACTAAATTAGGCATGCGGAATGGATAATTAGAGTGTGATTTTTATTATGTAATTATTAAATTATTGAATGTTATTTAGACTTGGATTGTATGTATTTAGATATTATTCAATATATTCTACATTTTAGAATTTTTTTTTTGTGTCATGATCAATTATTTAGAATTGAAATAAATTTTATTTATTAAATATAAATGTGAATTGAATATATAGTAGTCTTTCAAACAGCTTTACAATGTATTAAAACAGTTTTCTAAATCTTTAAAGGACAACTACACAAATCTGTACTGTTAATAAACGTTACATAATAGAAATAAACAGTTTTGTGAAATACAACAAATATAGTTGTTTACATTTTACAAATACAACACAGAATAGTAGTCTAATGCAAACATACTTAGTTGTCTTTTGAGCTGTAATCTGATTTACAGTCTGACTACTGTGTAAAAAGATAGTTTGAATATTTCAAGGACAACTACAAAAAAGCGTAGTGTTATTGAGCACTATACAAGTGAAAGAAACGGTTGTTAAAAATAAAACAAAATTAGTAGTCTACATTTTAGAAATATAACACAAGATAACAGTTGTCTGATGCTATTTTTGTTTAGTAGTCTTCCAAGCAGGAGTCTGATATATCTTTTAACTACTTTTGAAATTAGATGTCTATATTGTTGAACGACAACACCACGCAATAGGAGTCTGTAGTCGAAAACAACAGTTATATTCATTATAGATAGACAACAAAACATCACAGTTGTCTTTAACTCTAGAAAACAGATGTCTTACTCATACGAGGACAACTTCAAAAACATGTACTCTCAAACATCACAAAATAGGTGTCGTCAACCGTATTACACAATTGTTTTTAAACAGTATTCTGTAAATATATCAGACAGCTGCTCGGAAGACTACTGAAACAAGCACTGTTAGACTACTAAAAAGAACAGTTGTCTGCATTTGTTTTTGACGTAGTGGATGTATCCTTTCGAACGAGAAATGAAGACATTTAAGGGATATGTCAGCAATCGTGCTTATCCTGAAGGTTCAATTGCCGAAGCGTATATTGCAGAGGAGGCAATTGAGTGTTTAGTGAGTTCTGAAGATTCTATAGTAGGATTGCCAAAAAGTTTCCAGGATGCACTGCACAATCTAGACCCCTGTCTGGTGCGACGATGATAACACCGACCAACAATGACTTGCACCTAGCACATTTGTGTTTCCTTGAAAACCGTGATGATGTCCAACCATACTTTATGTAAGTTATGTTTTTTATTTTTCACAGTTACTTCGCTTTCATTCTTCTTTATAATATTAATAAAGAATATAAATATTTCAGTGAACATATGGCTGATTTGGTGAAAACCTATCCACAATGTTCTAATGATGAGGAGTGGCTTAAGAACAAGCAAAACGAAACTTTCCCGGCCTGGTTTCGTAGGCAACATGTACTCTTAAATATAAATAATGCGCAACGAAATGCATTAAAATCCAACAAACCTAGTGCTTTCTTATGTAAGGTATTCAATGATTTCATTGTACACTATGTTTTCGGTAACATTTGTGGTCTTCGAATTATCTATTTCATCGTAGATAAGCATCTTGATGGAGGCAGAATTTTTGGCCCGCGACATTGCAACGTATAGTTGTCCATGACAGAAGACTGGTCGCCTAAGAAAGATTCATGCGAATTCGAGTGTCTGACCTTGTGATTTATTTATTGTCATTGCAAAACAAAGTTTGACGAGACATTGAGTTCTCTTAAATGGAATTGCGCAATGTTCATCTCTAGACATCTCAAGTGGAATTCTTGGTATGAAGACATGCTTTCCCTTATATTTACCAAAATCTATGAAACAACTTATCAGATGATCGTGAAATGCATCACAAATTAAGCGCGTTCCATTACATAGGCCTTCACATGGGTTTAGGTTCCGTAGAAGAATTACTGGACAATTCTTTTTTAGAACTAATGTGTGAAATGGTAGACCTGGAAATGACAACGTGTGCAATAAATCCTGGCAACTTTTGTATTTCTGATCTAGTGGTACGTCATAGCTTAGTAGGGTTTTTGATTCTCCAGGGAATTTTCCAATTATAATCGTGTTCATTTCGTCGACGTAGTCATTTGTAGTACTTAATATTATTCTCCCCATCAACGTATATGGATCCTCTTGAAAGATGTTCAAGTTTGGGTAAACAGCTATGATCAGTGATGATAACAAATTTGAAGTGTCGGTGGTACGGACAAGGAATTCTTTCGGAATATTGATGTTTGTACCACTTATAGTTGGCGTTGTCCCATTTCCGATGTCCATTAGATACTCACAAAAAGAGGGATCAGCCTGCGCCCGAACATTTTCCTCTAAATTGAGGTGTATCCCCTTTGGCCAACTAAAGGACGATTTTACGATACAAGCATTTATAGAGTCTTGTCTGTTTCCATTCCTGACAACAGGAAGTGTCTAACGTAGATCTCCTCCGAAAACAATGACTTTTCCTCCGAATAGGTCATCGGAGGACATAATATCTTTAAGTTTTAAATCTAATGCCTATATGATTCCGCGGTTAGCCATTGTAATCTCATCCCATATGATGATCCGTGCTTCTCTAAGTAATGTTGCTATTGCACTTTGCTTACCAATGTTGCACGTGTGTCTATCATTTCCATCCAATGGTAATTTAAACCTAGAATGTGCCGTGTGGCCTCCTGGAAGAATAGAAGTAGCAATACCTGATGTTGCAATAGCTAAAGCTATCCATTTTTTGCTCTGGATTGTTGCAAGCAAAGCTCTCTATAAAAAAGTCTTTCTGGTGCCACTAGGGCCGTGTACGAAAAATACTGTTGGTTTGTTGGATGTCACACTCTTCATAATAGAGTCAAATGAAATCAGTTGTCCGCTATTGAATGTCTTGCTCGCTGATATTTATGTTATATTCTGATCTTAATTCTCGTGACTGAATTTTAGCAATTGTTAAGGGTATGGCACAATCTCTTAAGTTGAATGTGAGAATACTTTTTCCAAGTGCTTGAGTAATATCTCTAATAAGTTTTAGTGTCATTGTTTGCATTTCTAATGGAGTGTAGATGTGTACCTGTGAAAAATCTTCATATAGATACGTTTGTTATTTAGCCCATAACTCTCTTGGATTTAAAATGTCACAAAACACCAATATTGTCGCAAATAATCTCCGCAAGCTATTGGGCATTTGATACATCACAGCCTCTTCAAGGCAAACATCCGCTGTAGCATTTCCTTTTAGAAGCCCCATTCTCTCTGCACTTTCTCGGAATGTGGATGCTGTATAACCATCCACAAGTTTTAGACTGGAAAACAATGTTGGAACTCTTATATGTTGGAGTAGCATGCGAAGATAATATCTTTCGCCCTCAATTGGATTAACACTCACAAGTCGTCCTATGATGTTTTTTCGCTTTCGTAGCGTCCACATCATGTTTGTGTCTGACCAAACAAAAAACTCAGGGAATTGTACATAAAAAAGCTGGAGTCTTTTTGCAGTCACATCGTATAGGTTCATTTCAAAGAATTTTGTCAACATTGTGCTTGACCTGCTCTCATCTTTCACTATTCTTGTGATTCTTTGATTTCCGAAGAAGATGATATACTGAAAGTTTTCCATGTGTACTTGTAATTGTAGAACGAGGGGATACATTTTGGCAATGGTGAAGGCAAAGATCCTCCATGCTGCCTCTGGTGCCGAAACCCATCTTGCATTTTGGTAAGCTATTATCTCGTCATGGGCAAGAGTGTTTTGATCATTCGTGATTCCAATTGAAATTCTATCATGTCCTTTGTAAACATATTTATATATGTACTTCACGGATCTAACTTAAGCACATATCTCAACATTAATTTGGCAATCAAATTTCAACAAAAGTTGTGGATTATTTGGTACCACCTAAGAGTTATCAAGTTTGTAGCCCCGTATTTCTACAAAATTAGTGCCACTTCTCATGCGGTAGACTGGGAATGAATCTTCACTAAATGATGTTTCCTCACTTAAAGATCTCAGATACTTGTTTCTACACGAGAGTGTTAGTTGTCCCTTTTTTTATTCATACATGGCAACTTTGGTTAAGGGTGCCACAAGGCCCATGTATCATGTGTTTCATAACAAGTGTATATAGACGTGGTTGATGTAGAGGGTCGGGTATTTCTGCACAAACAAACTTGTCGCATGAATGGGGAGTTTTAATTTTTGAAGCAACTTTTATGATTATAAGAAAATGTGCATGGGGAAGGCCACACTTTTGAAATTCAATTACGTATATATATATATATATATATATATATATATATATATATATATATATATATATATATATATATATATATA